TTCTATACTTAGTGATTTCCTAAAAAACTTTAAATAGATTTTGAGTTTGGATCTCTTTAATTTTAAATTTTAATATTATATTATATTTTTTAATTAATTTGTATTAGCCCACGGGCCGGCCCTACCTATATTTCTCAAGCCCCACAAATCAGTAGGCTTATTCAGGCCGGGCTAAAAAGCCCTTTTTTTAAATGGGCTCCAAAATTTTTAGCCCAGCCCTATTAAATCCCGGGTTAGGCCAGGCCGGCCCAACAGGCCTAGCCCATATTGACGGCTCTACCAAAAATTATACAAGTATTTATATTTTGGACCAATAAGTGTACTACAAAATTTACTTTAAGGTTCATGTCTAAAAATAAATGAAGAAGGAAAAAAGGCTTAAGCGCGCCAACAAGTGAGGTTTGAACTCGTGGCCACCTAAAGCTTGAACTTTCCTCGCATGCCAGAAATCACTAGGCTACAACATTTCATTCCTTCAAGGGCGTTCAAATATGTTATTTAACCATTTAGCGTATAATTTCACTTATATATATATATATATATATATATATAAACCACTTTTTTTAAAAAAAAATTAGGGAAAATTTTCAAAACAACGAACTTTTAGCATTAAATAGGGTCATTAGCTACATTTTCAATATTTACAATAAACAGTTATACTTTAGTTTGCTATGGGTTGAATTATGTACTTTTTATTTGGTTTAACTTAACAGAATACAACTCAGAAATAACAAATTAAAGAAAATCAGGGGAGAAAACCTTTCAAATTAGGTAATATTAGTATTGAAAATTCTCATTACTTCGTTACAAAAGATTAGGAGACCAAAAAAAGTGGTTCTTAAGTTGATTGATCAACTTTTTCGCAATTTATTTTGAATACAAAAATTGAAAGTTTATTTCATATACAATTTATATTGAACACAGAAACTGAAAGGTTTATTTCGTATTCAAATTGTTTTGGAAATAGCAATTGAAAGGTTTATTTCCAATACATTTTGATTTTGATACAAAATTGAATTGTTGAATGGATATGAATTTGTATGTAGAAAGTTTCGAATACACATTTGGATAGAATACATTTTAGATGACGTTATACAAATTGTATATTTAATTTAATATAATACACTTTAGAATACAATTGAGGTTCGAAATACATTTTTACTTTGTAATCTGTTTGATATACAAATAGTCCATGGTTGAATGATTTTGATTTGTTTTTATGTTAGATGATTGAAATACAAAATAATTTAGAATACAATTTAGCTGATCTTCTATATATTCAACTTTGAACATAAACATATTTTTGGAATACAAAACAAACAAATTTTTTTGAAAGATTTTTATGATTTAACAATGAAACATGGGGGGAATATGAGAACGTGAGTCTTATTTTTTGTTTTAATTTTAGTCCCAAAATGTGGTTATTAGTTGAAAAAAATTAGGAACTAGATTAGAATACATTTGTTATATAAATAAAATATTCTTCTTTTTAATAATTATTTTAAACTGTAACTATTTTCAATAAATAAGTTAGAAATTTTGACTAATTTTATAATTTTTCCATAAAAGGTCATTATATAATGTTAAAAACTACCTACTCAGTGACCACAGATATTTTCTGATGACGATAAATTAAAATTTTGTACGTACGTCGTACGTTATAAATAGTGACAAAATAAAAAAAATCGTTAAAAATGTTCAAGATTTAATATATACGTATAAAAAATAATTTTATATAAAAAATATAATTTTTTGACAAACGATGTTTAACTGACCACCCTTCACCGCATGTTGTAATGCCACTAGTCACAAAATATCATACTTTCATCTAATATCTTACTGTAGGTGTTGATTTTCTAGTCTCTGATTGGCTTTTCACTTAGAATTGTAGCATATATATAAGGTTTCATTTTAGTACAACGTTATATATCTATCAAAATCCAAAAGGATTCACCATATCTTATCTTTAAATTTGGATGTGGCTTAGCATTACACAAGTACTTCAATCATTTTTGGTCTGGACGATTAGGTTAAAAAAGAAAAAAGAAAAAAGAAATAGATTTGGTCCACTTATTTTTTATGAGACAATTTTTATTGAAGACAGTGACAGAGTCATGAACTTTCCTTGCGCATCAGTAATCACTAGGCTACAATACTTCATTGTTTCAAGGGCGTTCAAAATATGTTATTTAACCATTTAACGTATCATTTTACTTGTATATATGGTATAATTTTTCTACGAAGGATATCCGCTTGGACACCCTGAATATACTGTAGCTCCGCCACTGACCGGAGAGAAGTCACGTTCTTGTGGTCGTGTGTAATAACACGTAAAACATGTTCTTAATGAACATTCAAAATTATTTATTTTTTTAGTTAACTTTTATATATTGACAACGTAAAAGTATCTTTACAAAAAAAACATAAAAGTGTCATGAGTTTAAGCATAGCTATATATAGTATATATATTTTTTGGAATATCAATATATACAAGTTAAATTCTTTTAAATTTTTCACTTTGAATTCTTTCAATTGACAAAATTTTGTTCACGTTACATGTCAATCGAGTCATGAACATCAAACATTAAAGAGAAAATTCATCAAATCACTCTCAAATTCACTTGAAAATTGTTAAGTGGTATTTTATATTTCTATGTAACTAAATGGTTAAAGTAAATTTCTCTCAAATTCAGAGGTGGTTTGAAAAGACCACATAGCTAAACTTTTCCTACCCTATAAAACTATGAATAATTTCAATAATTATTTCATTCATGGAGAGAACTAAGGGAAATAGTCCTAGTATCCTACTATTTCCATGGTTAGGTTTTGGCCATGTAAATCCCTTTTTGGCACTAGCCAAGAAATTATCAAAAATGAATTTTCACATATATTTTCTTTCTACACCAATTATTCTCAAATCTATCAAGGAAATCCTAGATAAAAACTCAACTAGTTATAATCTCTCCATACAACTTGTTGAATTTCACTTACCTTATTTGCATGAGTTGCCTCCTCATTACCATACAACTAATGACCTCCCTCCCCATCTTAATTCCACTCTTATTCAAGCCTTTCAAATGGCTTCTTCCAAATTTCCAAGCATAATTGAAACCCTAAAACCTAACTTGATTATATATGATGGGTTCCAACCATGGGTAGCAACTATGGCTTCATCATGCAATATTCATGCTATTATGTTTTATGTTTCTTCAACTTCTGGTCTTGCCTACCTTTACCACCAATTTCTTCATGGGACTTCAAACCTTACATCTTTGCCTTTTTCTTCATTGTATCTTCATGACTATGAGATCAAGAAATTAGATATAAAACCAATAAAACCACGCGATGAGCAAGCCTTTGCATACGTGGTACTTAAATCCTTTGAACACTCTCACAATATTGTTTTGTTGAACACTTGTAGGGAGATTGAGGGAAAGTATATAGATTATGTTTCTACCATAGGAAAGAAGGAGTTGATACCAATTGGACCACTTATTCGCGAGGTGACCATAGGTGAGGAGGAGAATTGGGGGACAATTCAATCCTGGCTAGATAAGAAGGATCGTTTATCATGTGTTTATGTATCATTTGGAAGTGAAGTCTTCTTGTCAAAGCAAGAAATTGAAGAGATAGCAAAAGGGCTTGAGCTAAGCAAAGTTAGCTTTATTTGGACAATCAAATTTTCAAAAGGGCTGAACACTACAATAGAAAAAATGGTTCCACAAGGTTTTCTTGAAAGTACAAAGGGAAAAGGGATGGTTATTGAAGGATGGGTACCACAAAGTCAAATTTTGAACCATTCAAGCATTGGAGGTTTCGTTACTCATTGTGGATGGAATTCGATGTTAGAAAGCATGAGTTTTGGCATACCAATAATAGCCATGCCTATGAATCATGATCAACCATTGAATTCAAGATTAGTGGAGGAACTTGGCATAGGGGTGGAGATTTTGAGAGGTGAAAATGGGGAAATAATGAAAGAAGAGGTGGCAAAAGGAATAAAGAGGGTGGTAGAGGATAAGACTAGGAAACAAGTTAATTTAAAGGCAATGGAATTGAGTGAAAAGATAAAATTCAAAGGGGAGAAAGCTATTGATGAAGGGGTTAAAAGGTTGTTGAAGCTTTTGTGTTGATTTATAAGGGAATGATGGATGATTGAATAGGATTTGGACACTACATGAGTTGAAACCTTATGTATTGTTTCATAATATATTGTATTATATTATTTCGTACTGTATTGTTTTAATGAATACAAAGTTTGGATAGATTTACATAATATCACATATCCATAATTTAAGCCATCAATACAATACAATAGAATTTAAGTAACAATCAAAACAAACTTTGTATTTAGACTAACAATACAATACAACGGGCAACAACCATCCAAACAAGGAGTATAAGTATTTTTAGCTCCTAAAGATTCAAATAAAAGAATTTTATATACAAATAATTTCGAATGTTGTAATTTAGCTAGAAATAATTAGCTTCTTATGATCATATTGTCTTGTATGAATTCAAACTCTAGAGAGGATTAATACCTATTATAAGTTGAAATACTTAAGAAATACATATAATGCTTAAATTATTTCAGACATGAACAAGATACTTTAAAGTTAAAATTCACCATCAAGAAGTATTTTGGGATGAAGGAGATTATATTCCTTTTTCTTTTCCAAAGATCTCGAACTCGATTCCTAAAAAATAGAAAATCTTTTCCCTTTACAAGTCCTACTCAACACAAACCTAAATTAATCGGAGCAATATTGAAATTTCGCCAAATAATGGTTAGTTATACATATATAAACATGTCACATGATGATTGATCTATTATTTCCCAAAGAGAAAGATATTAGTGTGCTAAGACTGGACATATTCATCAATAGAGCCTATTTTTTTTATTATTATTATTTTATAGGGAGGTCCCACCCCTTTTGCTCCCTTGGTGACTCGAACTCGTAACCTTCGGGTTGGAAGTGAGGGGTGCTTACCATCCGAGCAACTTCCTCTCGTCCAATAGAGCCTATTAACTTTGACATTACGTAAAAAAAATAAAAATTACACACAACCAGATCACCACTCCGACAATATTTAAAGGTAATCTTTTTAATAGTAGAATTTGTAATTTTGAAAAAGAAAAAATAAAGACAAGTTACCTTTCGGGAAAAAAAACGAGGAGGCATTTTCTCGAAAGAGAAAAGGAGACAGTTTTTGGCACAGGTAAAATAAAATATGGTCTCCCCTTCCATCCAAGTGGACTATATTTTTTCTCTTTATGGAAATTAAAAAGAGAGATATACTTCTACAAAACAAAAGATCGATGTCCTTCAAAATTCTAAAAAAATCAAAAAATATGTGCCTTTAATTCCTGTTTTTCTTTATTATGAATCAAGATGAAAGGTCGGATGTACATGAGTTAATAATGCAATAAATTGAAAGCATAAACATTTGTATTATTGTACCAACATTATTTATACATGATATACACAAATTTGCTTTCTTGTATATAACCAAGAAAACATATTTTACTTGTCTTTCTTTGATACTACTAAACCCTCTAATATAGGATAACTAAGAACCAAAACATAAAAAGAAAGGAAACCTTGTCCAAACATCTCCTCAAAGTACCTCTCTAAGACCAATCTTTTCATTCCAAATATGAAACATACCACATTAAACACCACTAAAAATGTCAAAGGAACCATAAACAACTTAGCACCTTGGAAATCAAATTTACCCTTTTCATATTTCCTTAATTTCTCTTCATCTATAGCTTTGTTTGTTAACCTGAAATTTGCCTTTGCAACACCCAGCCACTTCATTAAAACATCTAAGCATCCAAATAAGCAAGCTGTGACTGTTTTTATTATCCAAATTCTTTGTTCATTCCACCATGTCCTTAAGTTGCCACCACTAGACATGACTTCATATAAATGTTGAGCTAGAGATGATAAGAATATGGTTGTGAATAGTGCAAACCATGGGCTTGTCACCTGTAAATAAATAGAGACAATTGAATGAGTCATGTACATGAATTTTTCAAAAAATAATTATTTTGTGTCTCACGCGACTCTGACACTAACTTTGATTTAATTTCCAATTAGTATATCATCACCAAGGATGTGGAGGGATAGATAAAATTCATTTCAATCAAAGGTCTGAATTCGAGTCTTAGGAATGTAAAATTTTCTTATAGGGAATGCTTACTCCTTAACGGGGCCCTATGCAACATGATCTGACTTAAACCACACCAATAAATTTCGGATACCAGATCATTAAACAAGAAAATAAACTAGAGATTTCATTAATCACCACTATAGTTTAAGAAAATTCCATCAAGTCTTTTGGAGATTGACCTTTTGTAATCAATCGCTCATATGTCCATTTCGACTTGCAAACCCGGAATTTTTAAACATATTTTTAATGATATTATACTTGAAAAGATACTTATATATAAGTGATAAAATTAAATTTTTACCTTGGGAAACACTGGAGTACCACTCAAGAAGCACAAAGGTGGAACAATGCCATAAAGGAAGCAAGGAATGGAGAGAAAATGTGAGAACATGAAGTATCCATAACACATATTTTGGACTAAAGGCATTTTTGACATGAGCCCATAAGTGAATGGGCTGTATTTTGAAAGCCCAACTTGTACTAGCCCAGAAGCCCACTTCATGAGTTGGACCAAAGCATCCTTCATATCAATGGTGCTACAACCAAGAAAGCATGGCCTCTTTGGATAAAGATATACTGATTTCCACCCCTTAGAATGCAAGAGATAGCCTGTGTATGAGCTCTCTAGTAAACTGTTGTATGAGTACCCTATCTGAAACAACAATTTAAGCTTTTAGATGAAATAATCACATAATTTAACAGGAGCAAATATAAAAGTATTAATAGAAGTGTCAAAACAAGGTCATGAATATATGACACATCTAATCCGTCCAAGTTTGGGTTGTCTAACGACTCGTTCAACCAATTTAGCTCTTTTGACACACTCAATCCAAAAATTGGGCTAAACAACATTTTTTTTTAATTATTATTTGATATGTGTTATATATGACCATAATAAAGAAAAAAGAGTTTTGTTAGTTCTGTTTGATATAATTAAACATAAAAAGAGTTATCAGGTTCGATTATATTTCATTATTTACTCCATCTTGACTCGGCTCATTTTAATCTTGAATGAGTTAATGACTTGTTTATTTATTCTCTTAACTCAACTCATTTTAACCGTCTTAATTCAGTTCAATCTACTTATATAACCTCCCTAAAAATATATATGGACTAGTAGTAATAGGATGATACTTACTTCTTTACCCCATCTTGTATTTTCTTCAAATGTGCAAGAAGCAAGAGTTTTAGCTTCATCAATCATCTCATCACATAGAACATTCTGCCTTTCATTTCTTTGATCATTCAAAGAGTTGATGAACTTTCTAGAAGCACCAAACTTTTCTTCTGCCTCTTGAAGTGACTCCTCTATGAACCAAATATATTTAATTAATAAATAAAATGTTCATAGAGTTATATGCTTACAAAAATAACCACAATCATGTGTAAATTAATAAGATGAAAACCTGATTGATACAATTGAGATTCCCACTTGTATTCTGATTGAGCTTTTAGAAAAAGTGTAGTCATATTATCTTGGTTAATTGGAGTACTATATAATGCTTCTTTCTTCAAATAATAGCCTGTGCCTGCACAAACAGTCCCTCCTACTCCATCCATCCCTTGATACTTATTCTATAAAATTAAAAAAGAGAGAAATGAGATTTTAAGGAGTATATATACTAATGATTTAAAAAATATTTATACAATCAGATCATTTATTATGTATTATATATAATAACTATTAGTAAATTTATATTATTAACATTAGTGGGTGACCTAATAAAAATGGTTTATAATAATGTTAAACAATATAATAATATAAAAAAAATCTTGTTGTAAGCTTTGAATTTGTGAAATTATCCATTAATAAAGTTAAATAAATTTATTTTCGAATTCGTATTCACTTAAAAAGTTGAATAGCTTTAAAAAAAAAAAGTTATATGGCTGAAAAAAGAGATAATTATAGTCTAATGTCGTCTTTAGGTGATCTAATTTGTAAATATATAATTTTTATATACTTATTAAGTAAAAATATACATATAATATACACAGATATACATATAATATACATAAAAAATATATAAGTTTTATTAATTTGAATTAGGGAAAATTACACGGATAAGCAATCATATACTAGTTAATTAGCTAACATAGCTATAGTTTGAATTAATTATGGCTCGCAGCTTAAATTTAGTTGTAATTACGCCACCTCTCTCCTCTCTTCCCCTCTCTCGCCTCTCTCCTCTTTTATACATATACAAATACAAATTATACATATACATATACAATTATATGATAGATATACAAATACAATTAGCCTCTCTCGCTCACCAGATCTCGCCTCCCCAATCTCGCTCGCCTCTCCCTTCGCTCTCTCAATATCTCTCTCCAGATATACAAATACATATGCATATCAGTTACATATATACAATTATTTGACAGATATACGTATACAATTCGCCTCTCTCCACTCTCTGTCCTCTCTCTCTCTCGCCTCTCTCCTCCCTCTAACATGTAGCTACGAATCGTAATTAGTAAATTATAACTCTTGAGCATAATTAAGTTATTTTTGAGTGGCTATATGCGAAAATTGCCCTATAGATTAGTGCTTGTAATTAAGTTTGACCGATGGGCCAAAAATGAACTAAACCCGAAAAGGGCACCAGCCCGGCCCACCCCAAGCCCAACAAAACCGTATGGTTAGGAGCTATGTCAGGCCACTTTTCCCCCCCAAAATTCGGCCCAATGAAAACACAAAAATTTGGTGCAGATTTGGCCCGACCCGACCCGATTGGGTAGACACCCAAAAATTGTACAAATGTTATGAAGTTGAAAAACTTGAAATATATAGAATACAATTATTGCAACATATATTAAGAGGATGTGTAGGTACCTTGTATGCTGATCTTGATTGAGCATCATAGATGTCATTTTTACTAACATTATAAAAGGTTTGAGGGAATTGTACATAAGAAAGAGTAGTAGAAATATTTTGATCAAGATGAAAACACATTGCTTGCTTGGCTGAAGAAGGGTCATTGCAATACATGTCACAATCCAAAACAAGCATATATGGTGCATTGCTCATTACCCCTGAAACCCTAAGCTGCATGTCACCACAAACCAATAATAACCATAAGTGATTGTTCAAAAATTGACTGATTTCTAGCTAGTAGTGATTGTTCGTGAATTTTAAATATAGGAAAGTAGCTAGGTTAGTCATACATATTTGCCAAAATAATTTGAATTCATGTTGTGTATGTCTCAATTAACGGGAAAGGTTCTCCTACTAGGGCTGATTCAAAACCAAAATCTCTTATTAAAGGATCTCATCATTACAAAGGTAGTATGTTTTGCAGCTTACCAATCTATATATATCTCTACTATAAAAATTTACATGTGATTGGCTTTCTTAGATGACCTGATGATATAAAAGTTATATTCTCATTACTTTGTGATTAATCTTTATACTAGAAAACTAGTGTTAAAAGTGAAGTTGATGAAATGTAAACTCAACCCTAATTATGCTATTAAAACTTTTCTTCCAAATTAAAATTTGAATGATCGAATATTAAGTGAGCGTGGGATACTCTGTGCACGGCATAAAAACGAAAACCAAAACCTTTATTAATTAGGAGAAAATATTACTTACAAGAGCATTTAAGGCTCCAGCCTTGAAACGATGAGGGCTCGATGGTCGCCTCTCACGTGACATATAAACTAATTGTGGCAATTTGCTTTCCTTATCATCATGTATCACCTGCACCTCATAAATACTTGATTATTATTGTTAATCTCACCTTAATTACATTTTGTAACCCTAAAATTTTCTTACATTTGTTTTAACAAATAAAAAAAAATAAAAAAATAATAATATAAGTTACAATTCTCATCGTATTAATATGATAAAAAAATAATAATTAAATATTGGTAAAAGTTCATACAGTTTGACTCTCACACTACTAAAAAAATACTATTTTTTCATTTAAATTTTCTACTAAAAAATATTCAGTGACTCGTAGATATTTTATATGAATCAATAAGACAAGAAAATATGTCTAGCGGCTATTCCTAGTCTTTAAGAATCTATTTTTCTCTGTGCCTTTTTTTCAGTAAATTGAGATTGAAAAATTGTATTTTATAAAATCTCTATTTTTAGTAGTATCGAAAAATGAAATAAGTAAAAGTGAACGGAGGAACCTCAATATAGGGTGGTCGATCCATTCTGACGGACCCTTCAACACTACTGGCTTTCTCTACATTTTTCTTGAATACTTCATATGCCGCCTGCACAATAAAATAATAATATTTCACTATCTATAAATAAAAGTCCATATATTACCCTTTATAAAACAATAATAATAAAAAAGTTCAACCATGGACAAAATTATTGTTGAAATCGCAATTATGAACAGATAAACTAAAAACATATATTAGTTTACTATATTGAGTTTTGGGTCGATAATGATAAAGAATAATAAAAGTCCCGATAGTTAATAAGATCAGTGGACTTCTTACAAGGCTTGCATAATCTCTCTCTTTAAGCTATTTTTTAGAGTGTGAGTTAGATTCAAAATCTTAATTTAACATGATATCAGATTTTTTTAATGATAATTTTACTACTTAATAGTAAAAAAAATATGATAGAGATTTATGTCAAATCCTATGTCACCACAAGGTGGATTAAAAAAGCAAAAAAAAAATAAAAATAGGAAGAATAAAGTAAATGATATTTGATAATGTCATTAAATTTGAAAGAGAAAAAAAATGTTATATAATTTTGGAGGTAGTTGTTAAAGATGACGGTTGGTACCATATTATTGTTCTTAAATTAGTCCGCTAAGATTTTGTTGAACAAGGAAGAATTCAAGGTGACTATTGTAAGAATATGTTTTTTTTTTATCCTAGTGTGTTAATTAATAATTTAATATGCTGAAATTAAAATGTTTTAGGTCTAAATCACTTCAAGAGTAGAGAGAGAGATTATCAAAAGTTGTGATGGAGAATTGGGTATGTATTTTTTTATTTTTTTTAATTAATGATTTTGAGTTCAAGTCCAAGAAATTGGAGTCACTTTAGATAAGGAGTATTTATGTTTTAACCTTTGTAGTGAAACTTTTTTATGCGAATAAGATTAGTTGGATTTCAATGCGATGAAGTTTCTCATCGGTGACGGGAGAAATAATTAGTTTTTTGATGCAATCTTGATTAATTCTAACCTTATGACCTAACTTTTGGAGGTGAAACATGAGTTAGTCCCTAGATCCATTTTTTAGGGTATCAGAGTCAAGTCTATCCTAATTCTTGGTTTACTTGATGTTGGACTTTCATGTTATATTATTCACACTCTAGATATCTAGTCAAAGCATGCGAGGGTGTTAGAATTCCCTATCAATTATGGAAATTGGTTTATTTACCGTCATCCTTTACGTAATAACATTTTACTACATAACAATGTTATATATATAATAACATTTCATTATAGCAACCAAAAGATAATCATAACAAACAACGTTATTATAAAGAGGTTTGTCTATATATGATTTTGGTCAATCTAATTACCTTGTATACTAACTTTTGGGATTGATTCAGACTGAACGTCTATTTCTTTAGGGTAATAGTGGAACATCTTATCATCCAAATAAAAAGGGTTAAAGAAAATTACCTTAATATTTTCCTCTTCATTCTTGAATTCATTTCCTCTCAGTATCAAACGTTCATCATCACCAAAAGAAGAGAAAAATGCATCTGGACAAATAGTCTTCACTCCATACTTTCTACAAAAAGGAACCCAAACCCTAGCAAATCCACATGCCTCCTTAATAGCATACAACGTCACGGTGGCGCCACCGTCATCAGAGAGATAAACGGAGAGTTTTTCCGGTGGATAATCGAGTGACATAGCCGATAAAACCGTGTTCATAACCTCAAGAACCGGTTCCTTAGTAGGATCAGCCGTGCATATAAACACGTCGACGCCCGGTAACTCGGAATCAGCCGGAAGATTTTCCGGCATGACGGACCGAGCTACCGGGCGCCAACGGAAGGATTGTGTAACTAACCATATTATAGTGAAAATAACCTCAGAAATTGTGATAAGTCCCCATGAAATAATTGATACATCATCTCCTTGTAATAAATTTTTTATTCTATAGTATAGTAACCCTAATATGGCTGAAAAATGTAACAAAATATGGATTCTACTAAATATTGCACGAGGTTGTTGTAATGTGCATGTATTTAGATAAGGTGCACCCATGACCAATTTTTTTTTTTGTACTTTGTTTTTGAGTTGGTTTTAATTTATGGAGATGGTATATATTGCTCCTATATATAGGAATTTAAGAAAGAGGGTCTAGGCTAAAAACAAGAACTACTATAAAAAAAAAAAAATGGGTCAAAATCGACGGATAGAGTTGGTTGTTAAGGAAAATTGATGTTAAATCAACGGATTATATTGTACATCATCGATTTTGCCTGTTTTGTAAAATCGATAAATAGGATCAGTTAAAATGGAGGAACAGTTGATCGATGGATAAGGTTGATTTTTCAAAATTATACACAAAAAATGTAGCTACTTGAAATCAAACTCAGATATTTTCTATGACTTTATTTGGATAATCGTACAACTCGATTATACGTGTTGCTCTTTGATCAAATATTTCCATTGTTTTTATTTATACTCTTTAAAATTGCAATTTATTCACTTCAAAAATCGACCATGTCTGTCAATTTTTGTAATAATAATAATAATAATTAAAAATCAAGGGACTGCGGTGATTTTCTTTTTAACATTTTTTCTAAAAGAAAAACCCGATGGACATCTGTCGGTTTTAAAAAGTTTTTTTAAAAAAATTAAAACTGATGGGTAGGGTCGATTTTTCGAACCGACGCTATCCATCATTTTTTAAATTATTTTTAGTAGTGAAGTTGAGGGTTTAATTTTTATGAATTCTGAATTTTACGACAGCTACCTATAAGTCTTTTTATTTCACTAATTACTACTATTTCAGATACATCATGGTACGGGATTATTTGGACTACAAGATCAAACCAGATTATAGAGCAAGATTTTCTAAGTAATAGTCAACAAATTGGAATTCATTTATCAACAGATTTTTTTCTCCCATTTGAACTTATTTCCATAATCCTTTTAGTTGCTTTACAAAAGCGGTTAGCGGTGACCATTGAATAAGTTTCTTCGGCTTGAGTTGGGTTAAAAGCACGGAATGTATTTGCACCATCACCGTCTTCAAATAAAGTATTTTCTACGGTAGCACCATGAATGGCGCATAGCAAAGCAGCGCCCAATACACCGGCAACTCCCATCATATGAAAGGGGTTCAAGGTCCAATTATGAAACCCTTGAAAAAATAGGATGAATCGAAATATAGCTGCTACACCAAAACTAGGTGCAAAGAACCAACCAGACTGACCTAGTGGATAAATCAGAAATACAGAAACAAAAACAGCAATTGGACCAGAGAATGCGATTGCATTATAAGGTCTCAATTGAACAGATCGAGCAAGCTCGAATTGACGTAACATGAAACCTATTAGGCCAAAAGCTCCATGGAGAGCAACAAAAGTCCACAGACCCCCCAATTGACACCAACGAGTAAAATCTCCTTGTGCTTCAGGACCCCATAGTAACAACAACGAATGTGCTAAACTATTAGCAGGAGTAGAAACCGCGGCAGTTAAGAAATTGCAGCCTTCCAAATAAGAACTGGCCAATCCATGGGTATACCATGAAGTTACAAAGGTTGTACCTGTGAACCAACCCCCTACAGCGAAATAGGCACAAGGAAAGAGCAATAGACCGGACCAGCCTACAAAAACGAAACGGTCCCTCCGTAACCAGTCATCCATAATATCAAATAAATCATTTTCGTCTTTGGTAAACTTACCAATGGCTATAGTCATAGTGATCCTCCTATTCAACTACTTCGACCATTTCCGAGCACCTCATATCTTTTTCGGGGCGTCCCAAGATCCGATCATTTTTGTCTGATTTCTCTTGCACTGCCCTTCCCAATGGGTTTCGAAGATAAAAATCCTTTATTGATTAGCCCATAAACTGACCTAGGTAAATCCATGAACTCCATTGGATTATTCCTTCTGACTAAGCATATGAACCATGAATTGTCTTAATAAGATAATTCAATCAATCCCTTGTTTTGAAAGAACTCTTCAAGGACCAAACGGTCCCTTTCCTTCATACTTCATATAAATAAATCGAAAACCCCAGAGTATATCTTTCCACGGATCGAAGGAAAAAAGACAGTTCGATTTAAGTAATAATAACTGGATTCGAAATTACAATTTTTATATATATCAAATAAATTTCTTAATATATCATATAAAATATGAATTAAAATTACTAAATCTATCGAATTCATATTTGACCACCTAAAAACAAGTGACAAGTATTTTGTTTTATTGGTAGTGATAAATAATGTTAAATGTGGTGAAACGGCATCCTGGTGAAAAATGACAAAATAAGATTACTTTAAAATGTATAAACGAGCGGTTTTGTGATACTTCTTTTTGTTTCATTTCACTAATAATATTCAATATTTACTATGATTAGATTAATTGAGCACCCAATTTCATAAAAATGTTAAAAAGAGAATAAATATACTTAATTATATTATGTCTTAATTAACACGCTCCTTATGATATGTGGCCTATATTTTCCAGATGAAATAAGTAATTTTTGGATGACGATAAACTATGTGTTGATGTTGTTAACATGTTAAAGAGTGTCACCTCTTCTATAACCTCTATCTTTCTATTTTTAAAAGACAACAACAAGAGAACAGCAAAAACATATGTATGTGTCAATTTTAAATTTAATCGAGAGTCTGAAATATAATCTTTATATCTTTTAAGATTGGAATTAGTTTGCTTGCATACTATTATCTTCAGACTTCACTGTAAAATTATATGGGGTATGTTATTATAATTCTAAAAATCGAATTAGGATGTTTTTATTATATTATTCATATGTGATGAACTAATTCTTACGTTTCTTGAATGATAATTTATTCGACTGAATTGTCAGCCAAATATACTGTAAATGAAATGAGATCCCTTGCTTTTATATATATATATATATATATATATATATATATATATATATATATATATATATATATATATATATATATATATATATATATATATATATATATATATATATATATATATATATATATATATATATATATATATATATATATATATATATATATATATATATATATATATATATATATATATATATATATATATATATATATATATATATATATATATATATATATATATATATATATATATATATATATATATATATATATATATATATATATATATATATATATATATATATATATATATATATATATATATATATATATATATATATATATATATATATATATATATATATATATATATATATATATATATATATATATATATATATATATATATATATATATATATATATATATATATATATATATATATATATATATATATATATATATATATATATATATATATATATATATATATATATATATATATATATATATATATATATATATATATATATATATATATATATATATATATATATATATATATATATATATATATATATATATATATATATATATATATATATATATATATATATATATATATATATATATATATATATATATATATATATATATATATATATATATATATATATATATATATATATATATATATATATATATATATATATATATATATATATATATATATATATATATATATATATATNNNATATATATATATATATAATTTTAATAAAGGATAATGATATTTTTAATCTTTTACGTGTAAAAATAAAAATCTCTTTAGTTATCTGTAACCTCCTAATAGTTAACCTTGTATAAACGAAAACGACCAAATATTATAAGTTTTCTCCATTCAAATTGAAAGCCATGTAATCCTAAGATTCTTAATTATGTCGTCTACTCAATATTTAATAGTGAATACCATTAAAGATAATGACTACAATGTTAATTAGTCCCATTATTTGTCTAAACGTAAGCATGGGATAAGTTTTACTACTATTATTAATTAAATATATTTCCTTTATGCATTTTAAATTAAGTACTCCTTTTACTATACTTTTATGGATAAACTATCTAATTATACTAAACATCTAGATATATATTATTTGCTATCAAATAAAATCAAAATAAGGAGAGGCGAGCAACAACAAAAGGGAGGCGAACAAGATTTGTCTATGTATTCAGATACATTCGAATCACACTTGATACACTAGAATCTAGATACATGTACCTGTATGTATCTAGTGTGATTACATATATGGGATACAAGACACATAGGAGAGTAGCGAAATACGCACCAATTACACCTAATTTTGACCCACGTATCCCGAAATACGCACCAAAGTCTGATAAGCTTTGTAATATTGCAGAAAATATGTTGGATTCTTTACTCAAACAATCCAACATAGCAAGCATAAAAAAATACATCTAGTACATAACATCAATTTTATCAGTCACAGACACTCTCTTTGATAAAATATAAGTTGGAAATTCATCCACAGTTTACACAGCTTTGATGTTGACCGAAAAGATTCAGGAAAGAAGTCTGCATGAATCTCGAACGAGAAGGACAGTATATCACCTCTATCATTCGATGAGTAATCGGAAAAGTTTCATGTAATGGAGATACAAAAAGTAAAGGAGTAGAGCAAGTGACTCGCCATGGCTCCTCAAAAGGCGTTCTCCAGCTGAACGTAGAACGTAGAATTTGTTGTGTAGACAAGAATTACTAACTTGTAGTGATCGTTCACTACAAGTGAGTATTTCTAAGCAAGTTCTTCAGGATGTGTTCCTCAATCGTATCCTAGCTGGAATCCAGAAATAAATTGCAAATATTATTCAAAACACAACATATGAATGAAAAAAACGAGCAAATTCTAAGCATGATCAAAGTTGATTTGAATTAGGACAGCAGCTAAAATTTCAATAGGGGTAAGGAATAACCTCAAAGACAGGAAGGATCAAGCCAAACTTCCAAAGCCATCAATTCTTTGTCGATGTTCCATAGTGTTTTACAAACTTCCATGAAGGTGTAACACCATCAGACAGAGGTCTTTTAGATTCCATAAGCTGTTTGAGCCGACTGATTTTGTTTGCAAGTTCCTCTAAATCAAGAATTGCTTCCTCCAATTCATCGGACTCCAACGAATTGAATGGAATTTCACCACTGGTTTTAAACTTGTCGAGTAGGCCCAACACTTTTTGATCCATATCAGTAATGTTTGCAACTTCTTTTAGTTCAGCAATGTTTGAAAATTGATCAAGTAACTCTTTGGATTCAGAGCCCCTTTTATCATCCAAGGCAGGTAAAGATTTTGCAGAGCTATGAGCAAAGGAAGATGCATAGGATGCGGTTTCTTTTAACATGTCGTTTGATCTGTTTGCAGCATCTTTTGAAGTTTTGACGTCCCTCTGTAGGTAACCAGACAAACGAGTATAGAAAGATGAGTTTGACGATGATCCAGTTCTTGCCTGTCTGCCCCTTCTCCCTTTAACTATAGCATGTCCTACAATTAGAACATCAAAATAAGCTGCAATCATAATTACAAGCCAAAATCAAGTTGGAGGACTTTATCAGGCAGATAATTCTTATTTAACAAAAAACAAAGATGTGATAATTTTAGTTGGAATGCATTAAAACTGTGATTCAAGGAAACACTCCTAACAATGATACGACAAGATCCAGCGATCGCCAATTGTATAAGCTAAACGAGTGCAGAATGAGATTCAATTAATCAGTTTCTTCTGGGAGAAGTGCATAGAACTGATCAAGATAAACTTACTTGCACCTTGTGTTCCACACCAAACAACATCAACTTACCTTGGTTAAGTTATTTAACGAGGTGCAAATGTATATTTATTTAACGAGTGGGGGTTAATGTTAACTGCCGATTAATGTGCAATACCACTTGCTTTTACCAGCGCAACTAGGTAGCCTAGGAGATTGAAGAATGAGCTTTAAAGAGGAATGATAAGCATAGTTCAGAATATATATTTACGTCAAAATTAATATATTGGTTTAAACGTAAATCCATCTTTAATCTTTTAAAAAATATATATTTGCCTCGAAATACAAAGGTAAAGAAGCATGTTCCAAATTAAGCAATATGAATGCACATAATAACATTATTTTAATCATATTTACGACCTATGTCAAAGAAAGAAATAGTAACTATTCCAAAAACTACAGATTGAACCATGACTCTGTGAGAAATCTAGTGATGCAATCCTTCTAGTCAAAGCAAGATAAATTTAAATAACAGACATTTGACGAATAGCTACAGCATCACATGCTTATTGGTAAAGCACTAAAGGGGCCATTTTGGTTTAGAGACGAGTTGTGCAGAGATGAGTAATGTAGGGATTATTTCTTTTTGGATGTTTAGACTGATGTATAGCAATTAGTGCACAAAATAAAGTTTGTCTACTAATATGACGGTTAGTTTTGGATTTTAGTGTTATTAATCCATGTATTACTAAGACCTACATTTGTATTCTACACTAATTCCTACATAAAATAACACACAAATTCCTACATAACGTGAGCACGTACTAAAGAATTCTAGATTTTATGTGGAGATTAAAACTCCTACCTAGACCAACCAACCCCTAAAGTTTCAAAAAGTTTAGGAGCAAGATCATATTTTCACTGGACCAACAGAATCTATTCATTTACATTACAAAATAAAAAACATCACTTCCCATTACGATCTCTTATGTAATTTTACCCCTATGGGTACAGCAATAAGTTCTTTAACAGTCAATTAAGAAGTTTGTATCACATTATTGTTACCTTGACTAACAAGTTTAAGTAACGGAGGATATTGATGAGAACTTTCACCAGCCTGCAGTGGTCAAATGACAAGTATACGAAAGAAAATTAAGCACCAGAGGAAGGAGTATACAGAATAATATAGGTCAAGTAACGTAATTCCAACATAAGAGTAAATGGTTAAAATGATTGAATGCTTTTCTTGAAAAAATTCCTTGACCAAAAAGAAGCAACCGTGCACAGAAAAGCGCCCATTCTTCAATAAACAATCATCACTCAACTATGCCTCAACGTCATATCAATTTGAGCCAGCCATAGAAATCCCCTATATCCATTCTGCTCTACTTAGGCCCATTTCATATAAATACTAAATCATTTTCCTTTCCAGTCAAATTAGGTATTCTTTAATCTCGCAATATATTTCCCTTATCCTTGCATGGATAACATTTTCTAATACTACTAACTAATTGAGATCATAAAAGTTTAAGGAAAGAACCTGTGATGCAGGCATAACCCAACCATACTCTGGAGACCAATCTAAGGATGGACGCAAATCCTTGACAAAGGCGTCATAAGTTTCACCTTCACCCAATGGAGGTGGCAACAACTCAATCTAAAAAGAAAAAAACATGAAGTATTATCATACAAATCATTAGCTAAGATACAGAGCTGTCATGCATGGTGAGTAGAGGATGGATCTTCAAGGAAAAAAAAATTAAGTGCACAACTAAAGTTGCTTTTAATTATCACATCGATTTGAAGAAATAAATTTCAAGTAAAAGGCATCATGACAGTCCCCAGAAAGTAGTTGTTTTGCCTAAGGATCTCAATAATCAATCAATCGACCAACTTTCAATCCCAAATAAAGTTGTGGAATCATATGTAATCATTCAGCTCTATCCAAGTTCATATCATTCCAATACAATGTTAATGATATTCTAAATACACCATAACAGTAAATACCCTGTATACCTACAATATCCTTAACAACTTTTTGCAGTAATTTATTTCTAAAGGACAACTAGGGGATTCCTAATGCATATAACTGGATATCAGCAGTAAACACACCAACTTATTAATCAGCATGTGTGAAATTTAAACAATACTATTACCTTAGCTTTTCCATTGTCAAGTAACTTCGTCACTTGTCCGGACCAATAACAGTCATCGTACAACCAGTCAACCAAATCGCCCTCCCTCCAAGTACCATCAACAACAACAGTTACATCCGAATTTGAGCTGACATCAGAAACTTTGTTTTTCAAGTGGACTGGAGGATACTCAGGTCCAGTGGCGGAGCCAGGATTTTCGTGGAGGGGGTTCAACATATAAAGAAGTAAATAAAAAAATGGAGCAAAACGAATCGGGGAAGAAAAAAATTATCCTTAATCTGTTAAATTTAATTTGCCTTGTCAAGCCGCGTTTAACTTTGTTTCCTACTTTTACCCTGCTTCATTGATTTTCTTTTTTAAAAAAGTGATTTTTTTTTCTTTTATTTTTTTATTGTTTTACTTTATTTTGAATTATTAAATAAATTAAATTCGTGTTCATTCAATCATATGTTACTTTAAAATTGTTTGATACTCTTTACAAACGTGTGGGGATTGAGTTACTAATATTATAATGCATATTAAAAGGATAAATAAATGGCATCGCCAATTTTTTGTTCATTTATTCAATTAATAAGGTTTTCAATCGGTGAAAAATAAAAGAAGAATAATCAAATAAATGTAGTTTACATCTCTCTAGAATAGAAATGAAAAAATGAGAAAAAAATATCATGAATAATCATGCCTTTCAAATTTGTTCGTTCGATTAAATTTAGTGTAACTTATCTTTAAAATATTTTTTCTCTATCTCAAATTCAAGTTTAAGAATAATTGACAGTTTTTTAAAAAGTTCCTTTGAATTACTATATAAAAAAAGAGTTACGTAAAAATAAAATGAGCAATAGAGATAAAAAGAATAAAATACAAAAAATGAAAATAATGTGCCTAATTCCCTATATTCAAACAAATGAATATTGAAAAGGAGAAATAACATTGAAAAAAATAAGCCCCATTGATTTTCT